AGTAATTTAATGATACATTTTTTTTCTTAAAAAAATTGAAATAAAGTCTATATATATGTAATTATACTTACATTGGGGTTGCGCTTCGCGTTCCGGTATCGTTACATGTTCCAAATTTTTCAAAATCTCCAATTCGTCTCTATTCACTACAACCGAAAATTCATGGGAAATATTGTGACATAAAATTTTTATATTTTAATAAATAAATAGTAAAATAATAGTAAAAGTGGTCAATTTTATGGTGTACCATGCATATGCAATGTAATACTAATTTATACTTATTCAAAGCATAAAAAAAAAAGATAAGTACTCACAAACCCATTTAGCTATCGCGTACTGATCGTCTTTAATAGTCCTTCTAATATTTTTTAAAATCTTGTCTAATCTACCTTCCATATTCCTCATTTCCTCACGTCCGATACTTTCCAGCAAATTGAGATCATCGTCCCAATAGTATTTTATGCAGTGATTATTGAAAGCATCATGAAGTTTTTCTAACATCTATAAATATCATAGATATTTTATTATTATTGCTTTAATAAAAGAAGCACTTTGAATTTTAACAATATATTACCTTGAAGAATAAAAAAGTATATGATCTTCTCTGAGAAATATGAAACATTTCTGATTCATGGTAGCATAAGGTTTCGAGATAATAGCTTGCAATACTCGCCCATTCTCGAGTATCCCGAAGTTTCTAATAGAGAGAATATATATGTATGTACATCATTATTTAAAATAGATTATATAATTTAAATTGTTACAATAAAAAAAAATAAAAATTAATAATATAAATAAATAAAAAAGTTTTATGCATTATTCATTAAAGAAAGTAAAAGTAAAAAAAGAGAGTCAATTACAGAAGATAGGTAATTACAATATTATAAGTATAAAAATAAACTAAAAATATAAAGTAAAAAGGCTCTCTGTATAAATCGACAATATGCGTGAGAGAGGCAATAGGAGCCCAGCGCGGTACTCAGTGCGCAATAAATTTACCACGTGTACATATAAAACAATATATTTAGTCGTTAAAGACAAAAGAAACGAACGTTTCGGCCCTTTCTTTGGCCATCCTCAGCGTAAAACTATATCAATTCCGCGCAACGCAATTTCCTACATCCTTAATACCTTGATTGCAACATTTAACGTAATCAGACGCACAATAACAAATTAACGTAACCTAAATTAACGTAAACTAAAAATTTATTCGTATTTTTACAAATAAATTGATGTTTATTACTTCACGATGTAACATTGTACCTTTAATTGGCGTATTACAGGCTTCATACGCCCATAATTATGGTTAGAAAGCATATCCTTCTCAAACTCGTAAAAACACAGTCGCCAATAGCGATGTCGTAAATCACCGAAATCGCTTCTACTGTTGTTCAAAGGTTTGGGAACTGCAGACCAACATCTATTTGGGCGAGACTACGAAACGGAAAGCGATTAGTAAGAGCATGCTATTAACAGCTATTGAATTGCTGCAGACAATTATTTGTTCTTTGTTTTCCTCTATTGAGTTCTGTTTATTTTTTTTTTTTATTTTTTTTTTTTTAGTATTAAGTTTAAATATATTTGTACGACAAGGATTGAAGAAAAACTATAGATGAAAATAAAACAAAGTAGCTGCATCTATCTAAGTAGCTGTAGCTATATTTCGACTTAAGAAAGATTATTTTTCGCCAATGTCGCGAACGATGTCGTGAATTACGGAAACCTCTTCTACGCTTCTTTAAATAAAGTGCAGACCAACATTCACCAAACTATGAAACACGGAACGATTAACATTTACATACAATACAGACACGCTATTTAGTTTATTTGTTATTGAATTGCTACATACAATTGACCGTTTTTCTTTGTTAAATTTTTTTAAGTAAAAATTATCAAATATTAAGTTCGAATATTTTTACAAAAAAGAAAAAATTAGATAAAAAATAAAAATATATCTAACAATAAGTAAATAATATAGCTATACTTTAAGTGATTAAGTATATTTTAATACTAATAAAAATTATTTTTTTCCCAAATAGTATAATTTTTTCACAACACCTCCACGGAAAGTTCGACTTTCCATGCCTGTAGAGAGGGGCGAAAGTGACCAATTTCACGCCAGGACGGCATTAGCGGGACGAAAGTAACCACTTTCCTCCCTAGGGCGGAAAGTGATCACTTTCGTCCCGCTAAACAGGGAAAGTGATCACTTTTTGCTCTAGGGAGAAAAGTGGTTACTTTCGTCCCGCTATGCCGTCCTGGCGTGAAATGGCCACTCTCGCCTCTCTCTAGGCATGGAGGTCGAACTTTCCGTCGAACTCTCGGGCGGCAAACTTCACACTCGTCTGAAAAACGCTACTTTCGCCCCTTGGTGCACAATATACTATTTCATATTACTTTTACTTAATAAATAAAAAAACAAATAAACAGATGTACGACAAATCTCAATCTATTATTTTAATTTTATATATTACGTACTTGTAAAATATTCATTTTCGAAGATTTCGGTGGCAAAGCATGAATGGAAAAAGTTAAAACGGGAACCACATCGATGTCGATAGATTTTTCATCGTTTCTTCCGTAATTAAAATTTAACGTAAACGCTGGTCCTGATTTTCTTTTTCTTATCTAAACACAGATAAAACATGTAATATTAGTTTTATTAATTAGTTCAACTTTTCCTTCTTGTATAACATATATTCTATGATATAATATTTTATATGATTTATATACAACAATTTTAAATAGTCAAATATGTCGAAAGCAATTTTGCTCGTTATTACAATTTTCGATATCTCCACAAAAATCGAACAAAATCTACTGACAAAATGTGATAGCAGATAGCAATAACTCTACCCATTTTTTAATCTAACATATAAATAATATAAACAAGCAAAATAAAAAAATAGTAATACTTTAATAAATTAAGGTAGGCGTCTCGCTACGTGCTAGTCATGTGACTGTTTGTAGGTTTTCACGTTCAGAAATATATTTCAGGCAATTTTTGCTAAGGGAAAAATAATTTTATGAATTATGGTGTAAAATTTCATACGTAACAAAGTATGTTACTTTTTCCAAATTATGTGATTTTTCTCATTTAACTCCGTTTTGATCAGCTGATCATGCGAGTCGTCGAGAAAGGTTATCATCTCCTTTTCGATTGAATTTTGACAATTACTGAGAAAGGGTTTCAAAACGCATGACAGGGGTGTCAATCACTATCCAATTCGGCTAAGAAAGACGAGCCTCATAACCTGCAACTACAGTGATTAGCCAGCGGCGTTGCCAAGTCTTCCCAACCTCACCTCGACCAAAAAATGTCTGCTCGATTATCGCATTTTCACTAAAATAAACTAAAAAATTAGCAGCGAAATCTCCGGTAACCTATATATTTTATGGTTGCATCGGATTCTTCGAAATCTAATGTACAAAAAGCAATGTTTTTTTCTCACTTCATCTAATCGAAAAATACGAAAATATGTGATTGAAACCGTGATAGAGCCTTCTTTTCTGTATGAAGTAATGCAAAATTTGTGATTTTCGAGATCGATTTTCTAGAGTAAATAGTCGGTAAGGAGCCACAGAAAAAATCGACTGCAAAGCTGATCATATAATTTGATATAAAAACCGAAATCGAAAACTTTATCTAATACATGCCCTGACGAGACGACTACCTTAAATAAAGGTTTGATTAATAATTTAATAACTAAATAAATATTTGAATGGCTATGAAATAGCAGATTTACTCGATTTATACCAATTCAGTTGTCATATTCTATAAGTATATGCATATAATATCAAACTTGCACTTATATAACATCAAAAAACGTTAGCTTATCGTTAGTATAATGACTATAATGTATGAGCGTGAGTCAATAATTATCCGCATTTTATTTTAATAATTTATTAGACAGTTGAGAACGTACAATTACATCATTTTTTTAACCTAGTTCCCTTGCTTTTCAATGCACTTGTTCCAGCGTGCCACAAGTTTCTCGAAAAAAAAAAAAAAAAAATTTTTTTTGGTTTGTATATGCCTCAGCCATGTATATGCACCGCTTTTGTTATACTGCTGTCCATGCACGCTGTTCAAACGCTTCAGAAATTGGGTTTCAAGGTAGTGGAGCATTCAGATCTCACTCCCTTAGATTGCCATCTGTTTGGTCCATTTAAAGATACCTTATAAGAGATCGATTTGTTATCAGATCAACATGTGCAAGAAGTGATCCATACATGGCTGAGGGACAAACCAAAAATATTTTTTTGCGAGGATATATGCAAGTTTGTGGCACGCTGGGACAAATGCATTAAAAAACAAGGAGATTGTATTAAAAAATGATGTAATTGTACGTTGTCTACTATTGTTCTAATAAATTAATTATAGAAATAGAGCGCAGATAATTACTGACTCACTCTCGTAATTGATGCAATTCTGATCAATCTGTTGCCAGACTATCAATGACTATAATGTTAATATTTCACTTACTGGTGTATAATCATGAAATATAATTCTGTCATTTTTGTCACCAGTAGCGTGAGCCACTTTACTCAAAATTCTTTCTATCCAAGTGCGAAATTTTTCTTGATTCAGATATGATTCTTCATCAATGAAGGAATTCAATTCCCTAAACAGAAAATAGATACTTTTTTCCTTTCATTTTGTAAATTATAAGTCGATTTCTATAACATAATACTTACTTATATGCTTCCGGAACTAAATTTAAAGTATTCTGCGAGCTTATAGCTTTCCAAACCGGTACGCGTATCTTAATAAAACCTGGTCGATCTGCCCTAAACTAAAATATAATCAATAAGTATATATATTAATTATAATATTAGTATTAATTTCGCGTCAATCTTATAGTAGAAAATTGCATTATTGGATTAATAAGAAAATATTCGTATTATTTTATTGATATATTATAAAGTTATATTAAAATTATTTAATACGTATATGTATTACAAAAAGAAAATAATAATTTTGCATGAAAAAATTATTCAAATAAAAAATAGAAATGTTTTCATATAAATGGAATTTAATAACTTTGGATTTTCAAACTTTAATAATCTTCAGAAATATATGTTGCTGATTTTAAAAATAATATCTACCTGTATATCTTTTTCTTCGAAGGGTAGATTGACCACAAAATTCAAATCGTATTCTTTTGGTTCTCCAAATCGAGTTCCTTTATAATAGCTTCCAACCCAAATAATTCTTTGAAATGTTTTAGCAAATAACGGACTCTGCTGTCGCATAGCGTTTATGAGCTTTTCAAAAAACTGCAGCATACATTAAATGCATACGAGCATATAAATTAATAGAATATAGTTTTATTATAATACAAAGATTTTTACCGTTTTCAAGAACTGATTTTGATCCTTTATGTCATTGGAATCCATTTTTATAAATTTGCTGTTTATTTTCTCAAATATCGTATCGCTAACTAGATACTTGTCAATATCTGCGACTTGCGCCATCGCGTGTGTGTAAATTGCTGGATTTTCAAAATCTGAAATTACTTTAAAATTGTACCTATGTTAGCGCTATACAATTATTATTTAAATATTAATTAAATAAAATTGTATAATTCTTATAAATACAAAAAAAGATAAAATTTTTTTGTAGTATTTAATAGATATTAGTTAAGTATTATTATTTTAAATAAAATTGAAAAGTATAGTAAAATTATATAATATAAAAATTAGATTTCAGAATAAAATTGCATTTCTCTCGCTTTTGTTTTGCATGCATTCAGGAAGATCCAGATCTTTTAGAGATTATTTCAAATATTATAAACTTCTTTTTCTTTTGTAACTGAAACAACAGGTTTATGACAAATATCCCTTACTTGCCACACTTCTGTAGAATCACGTACTTGCCACACTGGGATGGAATCTACCCCAGCGACAAAAATTGTTATAACAAATAAGCTATTCAATATTTTAACTTGCCAAATTTTTTAGAACTTTTTAAGAGCTTACTTTTAAACGTTATGTAGATTATATAGCCAAAAAATAAAATTATGTATGATAAAAAAATTAAAATAGCAAAAAAAATGAATGGCTTGAGGGGATAGTGGCATGCTCGAACTATTGATAGATGTCGCTATAGACCCGCTCCCGGTAGGTTTAGGTACTTAAAATGAAGGGAATGGTCGTGGGGTTGATTTACACGTTTACACCCCAGTGTGGCAAGTAAGGGATATCTCACTATAAAATATTTATATTATATTAATATGGAGGACTAGAGAGCTTTTCGCGATGCACATCGTCAAGGAGAAATCAATCAGCAATTTTACTATGGACGCATTGTGCAGTTTTATTGCCACGTTCACTCACATTCGATATAATTATTATTAACTAGCAAAGCATTTTTTGCAAACTCTACGACATCATGATATAAATATCGTCAGTTGTGTGTGCAATAAAACGCAATCTATTTCTGGAAACGCTGACGGAAAAAAAGACATGAATGATACGCTTTATATGTCACTGATATCGAGTGATTTCCGCAATATCCGTGATATCGAATGTGAACGTGGCAATAAAACTGCACATGCATTCATAGTTAAATTGCTGATTGATTTCTTCTTTCTGAAATGTAAGATTGAATAAATGTCTAATGAATAGTGAACCAATAGAGCAATCCAAATATTACTTGTATACTTATTTCTACAAGGTTTGTTTGCACTTACACTTAAGAACTCTCTTTTTGCGCGTTTTTTCCGCAATTTTTTTTTACGTGGTTTTTCTAAATAACACAGTTTCTCAACAAATCTTTGTAATCTCTCGTGTAGGGGAGAGAGAGGAACATTGATTGTTTTTGCTTTGCTAATAATTTTGACTAAAAAAAAATTTTTTTTTATAATTTTAAACAGGAATCGGCAATAAAAAATTTACATTTTTCATTTTTTAATTATTCACAAAATTATAAATAACAACAAATTAAATTATGTATAATTCGGCTTCGGCTTCGCCTTCAGCTCGTGCGTCCACTCCGCACTCGTGTCCAATTTTCAACTTCCCGCACTTGTTACACAATAACTATTTATAGAATCAACAAATGAATAATTAATAAATTCAAGACGCGCGACCCGTGCGTCAAAAGAGTAAAATAATAAAATTCTGAGAGTCGCAAGTATAAAACGTGAAGAAAATTAGACTGCCCATTTTCTCCACTAGATCGGTCCCGTGCCATATTCAAAGTCATAATGATGTTGGGTCGCGTAATCTTGAATTTATTTTTATCTACGTACTGGCGAACTAAGTTATTTATTCCATTGTTAATAATTAGTCACAAAAAATTACTAACTACGTAAAAATTAATATTTCGGCAAAAGTGACTTACTCATTACTTAAAAAGTGGGTAAATCATCAGAGAAAAATTTTCAGTTACGTGAAAATTAATATTTAGACGAAAATATGAATTAATTTTTATTTACAAATTGATAGTTAGTAAACATAAATTTTTTATTGTTAAAAGAATTAATAGTTTGTCAAAATAAATTACTACTTATTTGAAAATGAATAATTAGTGGAAAATAATTACTAATTATTTCAATAATGAATAATTAGTCTCAGGTAAATTAATAATTATTAAAAAATTATTAATTGGTTTAATATAAATAATTTAAGTATTGTATTTAAACGTGGTTTAAAAAAATTTTTATATTAATGTCATATATAGAGGAGACCGGGGCGAAGTCGGCCCTATTTTTTCGGTGCCGTTTTTTCTCTGAGTGTACGGTACACCGATGATCATGAAATATATATATAATCACTTGGCACTCCGTCAGTTATAGTAGATAAGAAATCTCGCACGTTACAAATCTCGAGATTTTTATAAAGAGCAAGCTAGGAGTAGTTGTGTCACGTACGCGTGATATGAACGTGACACTAAGGTTGCGGTCCACTTGACGCTACAATGCTTCGAAGCATTCTCTTTTCTTTCAATGAAGAAAGAAGGAGAAGAAGAACGCTGCAAAGCATTTGTAGCGTCAAGTGGACCGCAACCTAAAATGCCCGTATATTTAAAAAGGTTCGTTTATGGATTTCTCAGGAGTTTTATAATATTTTATTGCAAATGATGGTATTTATCATTATAAATATTAACTGGACTCGATGTAAAAGATTCAAGTCGATTAAAAGTATTAATCAAGTGTTTAAAGATAACAAAAAATCATCAAATTCGTTTTCCTGTTGATTCTATTAGATTGATAACTGCTTGCTTTTTTAATAATTCTTTTAAATATATAGGGTGTTTCTTATATATATAAATGTACAGATGATTTTAGCAACTAGGAAACTGTAACTTTTTTGCAAAGAAGAAATACTAGAAGAAAATTTTGTATAAGTTCAATCTCTCTCTATAGACAGAGATTTTTTATGCATTGTGTAGTTTAACAAAATACGGTTGCACTTTTTTTTATATAAAACTGATGATTTTTTGAAATATAAATTAATTCTTTTCATATAAAAGTCTATGAAGTAAGGAGAAATTAATTATTCATTTTCTGAAGATTATCTTATTTATTATATTTCACATTTTATCCCAATACATTCTGTTGTAAAATGTAAAACATTCATTATTTGAGCATTTTATCTTATTTATATGCAACACAAATGGAATTAATTAAAATAAAAAATGCATGTAATCGTTTAAAAATATTCCACTGCATTTATATAAAAATCATTAATTTCTATTCTGAATGATTCCATTTACTCTATGATGAATTTAGCGACTTACTTTATTGGAAAAGTGAGTACTTTACGATATTTCATATTTTAACATTTAAATATTGGGTGTTGGAATTAATTTTTTTTTTTATAAAAATTAATGTTTATTGAAAAAAAACGGTACCATGTTTTTCATTCAAAGTACTGCCCATCGTTGTCCACAACTTTCTCCTATCTTTCTGGTAAAAGACGGATTTCTCGGCGAAAGAATGTCCAGTATTGGAGTAGAATCACCATAAGCTTCCAGGAACAAACGATGACAGTCAACAGTTTTTTTCTTTAGGTGAAAGCAAAAAAGCCTGGCTTCCCGCAAAAATTTCTCGCTTCCGTTTTCGCTTCCGTTTCGATGGCTCAAAACTCGAAATTTTTGACGCACCAAAAAACTTGTTACTCACACTTCAACGAAATGGCTTCTACTGATTCTTAAAGCTTAATAACAAGACTTTTATATAAGGTTGGCAACAGTATGCACCGGCGTGGAATATTCTAGTTATGCCATCTCTTAGAAAAACCAAAAAATTAATTCCAACACCCAATAATGTCAAAAATAACTACAAAGTTTATTTTGTGATTTATTTATTTTTCATCCAATTTTTGACAATTCTACTTATATAACAATACTAGCTTGATACACCCGTGCTTCGCTACGGTATGCGAAGGATTCTATAATTTACCCCCGAATTTAGATTTGCCCCTTTAGGAGGTTGATTAAGACAAAATCCTAAATTATGTTTTTAAGCATTTGTATAGGTAACCTTTGTAAGCAAAAATCAAGTCGATATCTCATTAGGCTTAAGAAATATTGAGGAATCCGTGAAAACATATTTTATCCCTATTCACCCCGTTAGGGGTCAAATTTCTAAAAATCCCTTCTTAGTGCTTACATCATGGAAGGAATATAATTCCCGAATTTCATGTTTCTAGGTTTCTAAGTTTAGAGGTTTGGGCTAGGCGTTGATGAGTCAGTCGGGACATTTGATAAAATATAGATAGATGGAGAGAATCTCAAAAATTTATATTTAAGAAATTATACAAATCCGTTTAAAAAAGTGTACAACAAATTATTTTGTAGGTAAATCGATTCCTCTGCGGTTGTCCAGTTATTATCGATAATCGTTTAATTAAAAAATTAAATGATGTATTCTTGACTCATTGCAGCTGTTTATCGGATTTGTACTCACCAAACAGGAGGTGATGCGGGCAAAATACCACGAATGCAGCAATATTGCTGCACAAATTTGCAGCGATAGTCGTAAGAACGTTTTCAATAATTTAATTGATTGGAATTTTAGAGCTGCTCACACATCCTTTATTATTTTATTCTACTAATTATTTCCTACAAATAAACGCGAATAAGGCTATGTATCGGACTGCATCCTACTGTGCACTAACCGACTCTTTCTGCTTTATGTAGTATATATACAGCAAATTAATGAGTAAACTTTCGGCAGATGGCGTTACAGCGATACGTAAGCTAGAGTCCCTAGAAATAAGAGTCTGGCCAATTTTTCTAGCTTAGTATAAAGACCTGTGTCCACGATGCTAGAACTTGATCCAAGTTCTCGGATATCGACGTATAGTTGACAAACTAATTAAAAATTATTTATAATTATCTTTTTTAATCGTTTGGAAATCATTTGGAGAAAGAAAAAAACTTTTTAGAGATTGGAAAACCATATTACAATATACATAAATTAATTAAAATCAATTAACTGTATAGTTGGCAGACATATTGTCTAAAATTTTTTTTTCTTATCCAATCGCTCCAGAATTATTTGGATAAAGTGTCGAAATATATTTTATTATTTGAAAAACTACTCTATTTTAATAAAAATTAATTAACAAGTAAACGATACCGGAAATAAGTTGGCGCTGAAAGTTCATATTTTTTAATAAACAATAGTTCAACCAATTGCTCCTTAATTGTTCCTTGCTTGCTCTATTGGGATATTCAATCGCTCCGTTCGTATAATTAATTTTGTATACTTTAGCATTTTTATTAAAAAATTAACAAATTAAAAGTCGGATGCATTATGCATTACGCAAAAGTTTGTATTCCGGCCTTTAATTTGTTAATTTTTCAATAAAAATGCTAAAGTATTATGCACACAATTATACGAATGGAGCGAAAAATAGAGCAAGCAAGGAACAATTATTCTACCAAAAATCAATATTAGTTAAAGAGTTAAACTCTTTGAGACATAGTTATAAACAATAGAGTTGTTATATATTATGTTTGAATATTTCCGCCGTTAGCTGCCGAGCCATATATAATTACAATAGGCAGCCAATAGGTGGCCGTGTCGTCACTTGTGAAATATAATTTTTCAATAAAAATGCAATAAATTATTAAAGTAATAATGGAGCAATAAGGATGAGCAATCAAGGAGCAATCATTTTATGCTGGATTTAGTTGCACAAAGTTATTAGAAATATGTTTTTGAGTGATAATTATAAATTTTACGTTTTTTGTAAATATTTTAAATAATATTAATTTTAAAAAGAGATCAATTCTTGATTCTGAAAGAGTAATTAAGGAGCAATCGTTTGAGCTATTGTTTATTAAAAAATATAAACTTTCAGCGCCAACTTATTTCCGGTATCGTTTACTTGTTAATTGATTTTTATAGTAATTATATGCAGTAATACGGATTACCCTCCGATGACCTTGACCTTGACATATGTTGTCAGGGTCACCTTCCTAAGTGACCCTCGGAAGGTTTTAACCGTTGCTCGTTTTTTATTAAAAAGTTATTAACAACAAAAGTTCCAAAAATATAGCAGTTATTTTAAGTACTGAGAGACAAACGACTAATAGCGTTTTTCACTGGCAGAACTGGTGCGCACTCAGTGCACATTAAAGCCGTTGTACACTGATTTAATCTCTAATATTTAAAGTAAAATGCAAATATTTCGACTGATAAAATACCCAGTACATATTTTACCAAATAGTGCAATAAAGAATATTGAGGATTTCATTATTTAACCCGTTTAGATTAAACATACACTTTACGTTGGTTTGTGTACGACGGCTTTAATGTG